TTAGGAGAGACCAGTCCCCGGAAAAGGACAGGTGCTTGGTAAAGCAGAGTAGTAGCAAAAGTGAAGAGTCTTAACCAGCTGAATTGACCCAGTGGCTGCAACAATGGGATCAAACATAAGAACAACTGTGAAGGACTGGGCAGTGTTTCATTTTGTGGTCCATAAAGGTACTATGAGTTGCAACCAACTTAACAGGACATCACAACAACAACAAAAACAACAACACATATAGATATATATGGAACAAAGAAGAACCAAATTATTTTCCATTCTTTATCTGTATGAAGGAGGCCTGGTGACATAGTGGGTTATAATGTTGTGCTGCTAACTTCAAGGTCTGCAGTTCGAAATCACCACCCATTCCTTGGGAGAAAGACAAGTCTATGTACTCTTGTAAAGATTTACAGTCTCAGAAATTCACAGGAGACGTTCTGCTTTGTCCTATAGGGTCGATATGAGTAGGGATGGACTCAATGGCAGTGAGTTTTATTGGTCTGATTTTGGTACCTGCCTCCCGACCTACCTAATCTTATTTATTTATTTATAACGTCTGCTCTCCTGTTTCCAGAAAGAAAGAAAAATAAGAGTAGATATTACCAAAAATACTACATGAAAAAAGAAGTAGCTTAAAACTGAAGTGTGGTAGAGATGTAGGGTGTGGTATTGAGTTGCTTGATGCACTTTAGAGCAGAGAGAAGTGGGCACAGTAAAGGCATGGCCGCAGGAGGATTTACTATGGTCCTTCTAGCTATGGTTTGGTACAGCAACCCTGAAGGACATAGTAGAACTGCACCAACCGCCCCCCCCCCCCCCCCCCCCCCCGCCCCCGTGGGGTTCTCCGGCTGTAAATCTTCATGCGAGTAGAAAGCCTTGTCTTTCTTCCCCAAACAGAGAAACTGGCGGTGTAGAACTGCTGTCTTGCTGTTAACAGGCCAAAGCTTTACCCACTAAGTGAGGGTCGTTATGGGGTTCCTATAAGATGGAGGCAACTCATCGGTAGTGAGTTTTTTCAGCTATGGATTTATAGCTCCTACCACATGACTGAGTGGGGCTATACAATAAGGTGCTTGTGGTGTAGCAAGGGGCTAGGATAGAAAAAAGATGTCAATCAATAATGTAAATAAGATGCATGGTACTATTGTGTCAGTGGGACTATGCAAATAAGGTATATAGAACTCTTAACAAGTGAATTCACCAATTTTACCACCCCTCTAGTTTGACATGAGCCATCTCAGAGCCAGAAAGGGGGGTGGGGGATGGGGGCATCTGACTAAATAGCACATTGTTCTACCCCAAAATTCTGAAGTCCCATGGTTTGAAAGTCTAGAAAGGATTTTCCTCTAGTTGGTAGCATTAACCAGGAGATAAGAATACGCTACACTGATCTTCAAATGAGTGACTCAATGCTAGCCATTTAATAAATGGTTAAGGAGCAGGCATCCAGCAAGTTAGTTAACACAGTAACATTTGTAATTTCATCAATATTTAACGGCGTTATCATCCACTCCAAGGTGGCTTAAAAAAGTTCATAGAAAAATGAGATGAAAGGATAATGGGGTTTTCCCACAAACTTTTGGAAGCTTCCACATGTTATCAGTCTAGTTCTCATATGTTTTCTACCTTCTCTGTGTTGCTCTCTGTTGGCTTCAGAGTCATGCACAATACAAAACAATGCGGCCTGGTCCTGCACCATCATTATGATCAGTTGCAGGTCCGATAGTTGTGATGTATAAGATCTTAATGTAAGCTGCCTAGATTGGTTTTACTTCTGATAAGCTGCCAAACTCTGCTTGTCACCAAAATTATCATCCTCATTTAAGGAACCCTCACATTTATTGAGTTTCAACTACCTAAGAATTATTTACTAAAGGCTGGCTAGGGATCATCAATGCCCAATTAATTTAAAACCGGAATCTTGGGAAAGAGCAAGATTCAATGCAGTAACTGGAGTAATAACATGGCAGAGTGGCAAGAATTACTTTTGTCTCCAAGAATATAAGGACAATCCATAGGAGTTAAGTTAAATAAAGAAAAAAAGAAGGACGGTGGAATGGAACTAAGAACAGATGTAGAGAGATTTCTTTTAACATTCATTTAAGACAGCTAATATTAGGTAGGTTATGAAAATGGGATATACGGGCTCTAAAGAAAGGTCAAAGTCATCTTTAAATAAGATGAAAAAAATTTAAGAAAGCTTATTTAACTGTGTAAAAAATGTTCCATCCTATTTTCAGTCTACTTCTGGGTAAGAGTGAAGATATGGGATTCTAGTATCAGATACATCTAGCCATTGTTTTAGATAATCAACAGCATGAATAATGATATTAATTTATAAACGATTACAACAAATCTGAAGCAATGTTGAAAACTATTTTGGATATATTTCAAGTCTGAAATTACTTTTCGAGAGTCAATTGTCTTCAATGAGAAAACAGTTTTGAGGGTTTAAGAGAAAATTGTGTTTAACAACTCATTGTTAAGATTTTTCTTTCTGGAGGTTTTTAAAACTGAAAGCTGTGCTTTCTGCCATCACAAGCATGGACTAGAATAGAGCCCAGCCTACTTGTAAGCCTGTGGGAGAATAGCTCAGTGCCTACATGGCATCTTGAACAGCTGTATGCTTCTCAATCTTACACTGGGCTGTGTCCAACAACCATTGCATAAATAACTTCCTACAGATAATAGTGCTGCTCAGTTCTGAGCTGACCATAAGAAATTACTAGTGAAAACAGAATCTGTTCCCATGGCCACTTAGAAAATTAGGTCTTAGTTCATTGGGCCTAAGCCTTAAATTTTGGAAATTCCTTCCGAAGTGAAAATACAGATGAATGGGTTATTAGGAAATCCTGTGACAAATTAATTTATATCCATTCTCATGAGACTCAGCCAACAGTTGAGATTGTTAACTATAAGTGGTAAATAATTTCTGAGTCATACCATTTGTCTCTGTCTATCAACATGATCCCAAAGTGGAACACTTGATTCATTCCATGTACACACCCTCAAACAAGCTCATTTCCAAGTCTTTCCCATCTCCATAACTGTCACCATTATTTACTGACTTGTTTAAGCCAAAGACCTCAGAGTCACTCTTGATGCTATGTTTTCTCTCACACAATTCATCTGAAGTTCTATCAGCTCTGCCTTCAAAATCTTGAATCCAACCACTTTTCACCAACTTCAGCCATCATTATCTCCTTGCAAGATGATTTCAACATCCTTCCAACGTTCTCTTTGCTCTCAGTCATTTGGCAATAATAGTAGCCAAAAATCAACTCAGATCGTATCACCTGTGCTAAGAGCCCTCCAGTGAAGAATCATTACATTCAGAATAAAATCCACCTCCTCACCATGGGTGGCATGACTGCTCATGTTATTACTGGCCTGTGTCTGCCTCTATAACCTCTCACTGTCTACGGCTCTTATGTTCCTTTAGGCACACAGCCCATATTGCCCCTCCTTGAACACACCAAACTTGTTCTTACATCTGGGATCTTGTGTATGCTGCCTCTTCTTTCTAGAAAGGAGTTCCTGGGTGGTGCCAATGGTTAAACCCTTGAAGACTAGCCTGAAAGTTGGTCGTTTAAACATACCCAGAGCTGACTCAGAAGAAAAGACTGGTGATAGGCTTCTGAAAGGTCACCTCCTTGAAAACTCTACGGAGGATAGTTGTGCGTTGGAACACCTGAGATCACCATGAGTCAGCATCAACTGGGCCACGATTAGTTCGGGTTTTGTTTTCTTCTTAGAATACTCTTCATGCAATATCTGAGTAGGTTGATTGGTTCACTCGCTCACGTCAAGCAGTCTCTCACTTCTGACCAATTATAACCTCATCAGAGAGCCTTCTACCCTTTGGTCTCTTTACTCCTGCTTAGTTTCTCTTTATAGCATTCACTACTGTTACATAGCTTATTGAGTAATTAGTTGATTTGTGGTGTCTTTCCCTAATAAAAAAAGGAAGGATTCAGTGACTCCATTGTTAAAAAAATACACTAAAAATTGTAGTGCCTCAGCAATCGCATGCCTCAGTGTATACACAAAACACTTGAAGACTGAGACTCAAGCCGATCCTTGTACACCAATGCTAATTGCAACATCGTTCATAAAAACCCAAAGGTGCAAACAACCTAACTGTTCACCAACATATGAATGCATAAACAAAATAAGGCACATGCATACAATGGCATACTATTTATCCAGTAAGAGAAATGACATCTTGGTGGATAGTACAATAGAGGTGGTCTATGAAGATATTATGCTGAGTGAAGTGAATCAATCACAAATGGACAAATATTGTATGATTTCACTCATATAAATATATAACAACAGGCAAATTTATGTAGGCCTAAATTTATTCATGGTTACCAGGGGTGAAGGAATTGACTTTTGGCTCCTGGTGTTAAGAAAAATAGTATCAATTAAGGACTGCACAACCAATTCATGTAAGCCTTGTCTAGTTGAATTGATAAAAAGTTGTGATAGATACATTTATAAAGATAGCAAGAACAACAACAACAAATAACCAAGAAGAGCAGTGTGTTTTTATACAAGCAAGCACCTGATGGGATTCATTTTCTTGGTTTGGAGGTTTAAGGTCATGCTTTCATGAGATATCCCAAACATTGTTTTCATCATGTTTAGTGCTTCTGTTCTCTCTCTCAGTTTGTTGCAAAGTGGTGTCCTAAAAGCTTGCAAGCAGCCACTTAAGGCACAATTGGTCTCAATTTGCCTGTAGAACACCCAAAGGCTCTGGAATAGGAGGAGGAGTTGTAAGGTGACCTTTCTCAGGAATGAATGAGAGCAGAAGAATTGGATGGTGCCCAGGTACCATTGCTGAACATTTTGATAAGAGAGTCTATAGAAGAATCTTGATCAAAAGGGAGAAGGCATATTATCCTGGAATACAAATATTCTGGAATCAGAGAGTCTGTCTGGGTAAACCCTGAAACTATTGCCCAGATATAATATTTAAACCTGAAATCCAAAATATCCCTGGACCCCTCCAGATTCCTTCCCCCTCAGATCTGAATATTGGTCTGAGTGGCTACAAAATGAGGAATAGTAAAATTGAAGTGGACTTCGAGTCTTTAATGATATGCAAGTTCATTTCAAACTATATATATCCCTTGAAGATTTCTTAAAACCAAACAGAACCAAAGGGGGTGGGGGTTGTGCAACAGAACCTGGCTTAACTGGTGAAGACTGTCAGCCTTGAGCAATACATTATTTTAAGAATTACCTCTATGGGTTGGAATTGACAATAGCAAGTTGAAATTTTGATAGGAGACATGAAGACAGTGAATTTATGCTAATGGGGGGGACAACAACTCAGAAAATGAGAGTGAGAATGATGGTCCAGTTTAAAGAATACAATTCAACTGAAAGAATACAATCCATGCCATTGAATTGCACATGCAGAAACGGTTGAAGGGACGTGAGTTCTACCGTGTATAATCTCAACAATCAAAATAAATAAATAAGGAAACTTCATGGAGGTGGAAATCCAGTTTGGCCCCCACAGTATTTTCAGCCCATGACAAGGAGCAGGTATTCAATAAATAGTTATTGAAAGAATCAATGCACAGTAGGAATCTGAATTACAAAATGGTTTCTCCTAATTTTTTTTTTCACGGAAAAGAAAGGGCACAGAAAAAGATCAGGGGTTAAACCACAATTAAATGAAGAGTGCCTAATAGCGCGTGTAAAAGTACTTTAAGAGAGAAAACACTTTTCGGATAATATCTTTAAGTGTTTATGTCAGGATATCAAAATATCTTGACAAAGTTAGGAAGAGGACCTTGGTAGGAAAGTCAATTTGGAAAGTATTTATATTTCATCTTATTATCATCATTAAAGAAAAGCAGCAATTCCTAAATGACTGTGCTCCCAAGTTTTGATGATATAGCTAATTTTCAGAAGACTTCTTCAAATGCCTAGAAATGTCATTCTAAAAATACTTTTGAAACTTTTCTACTCAGCATTCCTGAAAAAGGCTGGAAAAATATAAAACTTATTATGCAAAAGAGTTTACTTTATGATTGAAAAGAATATTAGATCAAAAAGACGTTTGTTTTCTCCACCAGAGCTGCGCAGACATTTTATGGCAGGCACAACCATCATTGAACTTTGCAAGGAAACAAACTTGTTTAGGAACTCCAAGAGGCCAGGCCATCGAATCTTGGATTGAATTACTCTATCATTTCCTTTTTGTTGTTCACCTGAGATGAAAAAAAAATTTTTTTTTCAAGCCAGAGTTGACTTGAAAGACATTCACAAGCAGCACCCAACCCAAAGCCAATTTCTCTTTCAGTGGGGGGAACTTTTCAAGATAACACATGCACTAAAATCTCCCTTAAATAAGCAGGATAGCAATGACAACTGAATTAGCCTAAATGAAGGTATAATCTCCAACATGATTCCAGGATAATTTTATTGAACTTGTGAACCTGTCCCTCACGTTGTGGTGACTCCCATGGAAATCGAACATGCATAATATATGACCTGACCAATGAACAAGTAAACTACATTATTCAAGCCTTTTCATTTGTCAACAGCACCCAAGCAATAATGGCTTTCTGTCCACTGTTTTAATAATGTATGTTTTGATTACTTCCATCTAAATCATAACCAGAAAGTCTGAGGAAGCTTCGAAGGTGTCCTTGCTGGTCTCTAAGGAAGGGATTATAGAAATCTTTAATTTGAAGGATGAAAACCCAGTGACAATCAATTTCATTACCAAAAATGCCAACAAAAAGGCACTTCCTGCAGTGTCTTTATCATTAACACCTAATCTCCACTTGAATTTGGGGTCGGATGAAGGGAATTAACTGACCTCATCACTTATTAAGGACCTCCATAGAAATTCCCCATTATGATTTGCTCCTTTAGAACTCTCTCCAGGTTAATCACAGAACTAGACAAGTAATAAATATCACTTTCGTGGGTGCTCAAGTAAAACAAAGGAAGTTAGGGTTAAAAAATATATCTGGACCAGAATAATACACACTAATTGAAAATGAGTCAGTCTAGTGAGGCAAGTAATGAGGAACCGTAAAAGCCAGGATAATGTATTCAAAAGATATAAAACTTGGTCAGTTTATATTTGCTAAGGCACATTTGATCTTTAATTATTTATACCACTTCATCTCATATGGAGTATTATTTTATTAATTAGTCTTGAGAGCCATTCCAGTAGCAGTTGTTATGCTGCGCAGCTGGGTTGGGAACACAGATCCACTCTCCTGGGTGTGAAAACTGCTTTAGGAGTGAGACTGCAGTGCCCACATACCAGTCAAGTCTTCGGGAATTTTAGCTAACAGAAACCCCACCTACCTCTCCATCACAGTAACTGAGACCGACTATGCACTTTCCCCTTAAAAGAATAAGACAGATGATATCTTGCCCCATTTTTTCAGCATTAGCAAAGGATGTATGAAATAAATGTGAATTCTTTCTTTTGTAAATATTCTGATTTATAGAAGTGTGACATAGAACTATATTTGATTGTACTGTAATTTCAACATTGTATGTCCATAAAAAGCAAAAATCAAGGGCAGCAATAATCTGTTAACAGTTAGCAAGCAAGTGATTGAAAAGAAGTGTCGCACAAATATATGGGGGCAAGTTTATGGTGACAAGTGACCCGTCTCGGTACCAGACATTCTATATAAACAACGTTTCAATCCAGAACTCCATAAAGAGAAAGCCCAGTTGTAATCTTCGAAACCTAGTCAAGTGAAACCGACGTCTACAAATACAAAATCTATCACAGACTTGATTTTGATGGAGGTCTGTACTGACCATGCTTCCTTTCCCTCTTCCAGAAGCCCTGACAGAGAGACTTCATGTCAAGGCATTTCCTTTGTTCTTTTATCCACAGGCAACAAGAGAATCACTAACTAGTCAGTCCTTCCATTATGAGAAAAAAGTTACTACATAAATGTGACAAACTCTTGAGTAAAACAGGGTGCAAATTTGTTCTCTTGTCCACCTTCAGGAGTGATAATGTTCTTTGAGGAAGGAGAATGTGTTGTGCCAAGGTTTTTTCTCCAGGATACAAAGGAAAACATGTGAGGGCTTTGGGGTAGACAGCATGCACGCATAAAAACCCTGGGCATAACAACACTGCTACACACCTCAAACAATTGAGAATGGAAGTTCCATGCGACCTAGCAACCCCTTTGTTAGGCTTATGTCCTAAGGAAGTAAGAGACATAACAGGAACAGACCTGCACATCCATGTTCAGTGCAGCACTGTTCACAATAGCAAAAAAAGATGGAAAGAGGTTAAAGGCCCATCAGTTGAAGAAGGGCTAAGGAAACTGCCAGACGCGCACAGTGGGATACTTTGCATCGCTCAAAAACAATGACGAAATCATGAAGTACCTCATGACATGAATGGGCACAAAGGACATCATGCTTCATGAAATCACTCAATCCCAAAGGGACACAGATTACCTGAGACCACTATTGTACATTAAAAATATATTAGAAACCAAGATAAAGGCATTCATACCAAAGGGAACAAAATCTGGAAACTTATAGGGGATGGGAGGAACCAGGGTGGGAAGAGGAAACAAAGGGCTAGACCATCGAAGGGGGATAAGGTAGAGAGGTGGGTGACAGGTAAATTATTGGGGGGGAGCTAGTAGTTTAAATTGTTGAATAAAAAGTTGATGATTTGAAATGTATACCCACATCTAATTTACCCTAAAAGAAATAGAATAAGAGTACTAGAGAAAACAAACAAACAACAAAAAAGCAAAACCACAGCCCCAAATCCTGCTATGCATTTTTTCTTCTCTTGCCTGCACTTGCCCTCAGAGTACCGGAGTAAAAATGAAAAAGAGGAAAGTTAAATTATTGATTTTGTTTCTTTGTTTTCCCCCTTTTTCCCTCTCACTCTTTTCCTTCCTTCCTTGACTCCTTTGGTTTTATCTATCCAGTATCTACCAGGTACGACTTTATCAGGCCTCAAGTATAAAAATATAAAGGGCAACTAAAAACCAAAACCCCCAACTCACTGCCATTGAGCCAATTCAATTCTGACTCATGACATCCCTGTAGGTCAGGCCTCTTTGGGTTTCCGAGACTGTAATTCTTGATGAGAATGGAAAGTCCCATCCTTTTCCCACAAAAAAATGTCAACCAGCCACAAAAAAAAAGGTAAGAGCACAAGGGTTAGTGAAAGGGAGTGACATTAATGAGATATGCACATAAAATATAGGAATACATACTGCATGGACATAAACACAAAAGGTGTATTTAGATACATTTACTATGCATATATACAAGCTATCCACATGCATGCATGTGTGCAGACATGATGAAAAAGAATGCTACGTGACAGAACTCAAAGAATGATGAAGAAATAGTATTAGGAAAGTGTATTACAGGGAGAGCTGGTCAACTGATGAGTATCAGAGAAAAGTTTGCTGAGTGTTTGAGCCCAGATATTTAGGATTATTAGATAGATGTTAAGGGGAATGCGTGGATAGGAATCTATGGCAAATGATGAACGCAAGTGGTTTCTAACCAAAGGATGTAAGGTTCAAGCTCATCCAGAGGTGCCTTGGCAGAAATCCCTTGCTAGCTACTTGTGAAAGCACATCCATTGAAATTCCGATGAAGCATAGTTGTACTGTGACATGTGGGAGGTCAGCATGAGCTGAACTGTACCCGACAGCAACTGGTATGGTATGGTATGGCATGGTATGACATGGTATGGTATGGTATGGCATGGTATGACATGGTATGGCATGGTATGACATGGGATGGCATGGTATGACATGGGATGGCATGGTATGACATGGGATGGTAAGGTATGGTATGGTATAGCATGGCATTGTATGGTATGGCATACTGGGGTAGAAAGAGTTTCAGATAGGGTGCCCACTATGTTCAAATCCCTAGCTGAGAGGAATGTGGATAATTGGGACAGTAATAATGAAGAAAAGCAATATGGCTGCTATCCCAAGCCCAAGGGTAAGAAGAGAGAATGTTGGAGACTTGGAGTCCTTGCTGAGGAGTTTCATCTTTATCTAAGGTCATTGAGAAGCCACTAAGAGTGTTAAGATCAGGAGTGGCATGATCCATTTTAAGTTTCTATATCAATTAGT